TCATTCACAAGAAGGCAGATCATTTCAGACCCCTGAGAAACTCTTACAGGATCGCTATGGGTCAGAATTGACTCGACACTTTCCAACAACAACCATGGGACCGAAGAGTCCAATGTGGCACTGTGAGTTAATGCGGCAGACTGCAAATCCGTTTGAACTGCAAGGTCAGTGGTTCAAGCTCACCAGCTGCTCCTCGGAAACCCTATACACTATGGGTCGGAATCAACTCAACAGCACTTAACAACAACAACCATGGGACTGGAGTCCTGGTGTGGCGCTGTGGGATAATGCACTGGACTGCAAGGTCAGATTGAAATACAAGGTCGGCGGTTCAAATTCATCAGCCGCTCCTCAGAAACCCTATATAGAGTTGCTATGAGTCAGAACTGACTTGAAGGCACTTAACAAGCACCATGGGACTGCTCTGAAAACAGTATTTAACAGCACAAATAAATTAGTCATCAGGACAGGCACAGAGTAAACCTACTAATAGTAATAGGTACACTGTGAGCATTGTTGTTGTTGTCAGGTGCCATTGAGTCGGAACTGACTCATAGTGACCCCATGCACAGCAGAACGAAACAATGTCCGATCCTGGGCCAACCTCACTACCACCGCCACACTTGACGCCGTCAATGATGTCACCTGGCTGATCCATCTCTTTTTCTCTGACCCTCCACCTTACCCAGCATGACATCCTTTTCAAGTGACTGTTCTCTCCAGACAATGTGTCCAAAGTATGAGAGACGAAGTTTGGCCATCTTGGCCTCCAAGGAGCACTCTGGTTGCACTTCTTCCAAAACACATCTATTGGTTCTTTTGGCAGTCCATGGCACTTTCAGTATTCTCCTCCAACACCACAGCTCAAAGGCATCAATTCTTCTATGATCTTCCTTATTCACTGTCCAGCTTTTGCATCCATATGAGGTTATTGAAAATATCATGGCTTGGGTCAGGTGCACCTTAGTCCTCAAGCTGACATCTCTGCTCTTCAATACTTAAAAAAAGTTCCTGTGCAGCAGATTTGCCCAATGCATTAGCCGCTATTTTAAATTCTATTACCACACTTCGTATTTCCAGAAAAGTGCCAGGCAGAGAGACAGAGACTATGGGGTACCAAGTGCTCATTCGTTTGGTAAATACAGTGAAACTTGTGAAAGCCAAAACCTGACAGACTTGCCTAATGTTCCCACTTTTAACAGAGTGCTTACCACTTCTCTGCTGCTCTCACAAGTTCCCACTTTTGACAGAGTGCTTACCACTTCTCTGCTGCTCTCTATTAAGAATCCTATCTCACAGATACCCAATGAGTTTTCCTTCTCTGATAGGTTTTTGCCTTACCAGGTTCCAGCTTTCTCAGGTACTTACTGAAGACCTCTTGTGGACCTAGCACTGTCCACGGTGCTGAAATTTGTGATACTTAAACACATAAAAGTCCTTGTCCTCAAGGAGCAGAAATTTTAGACAGAGAGGAAATAGGCAAATTAATATATATGTCAAGTGGAGATATGTGCCATCAATAAAAAATAAACTGGGGTAGAGATATACCTGTGGGCTTCAAAAAGTTCATGGAAAATTTCCATTATCTTTTCATTGTTTTTCCATGAACATTTTGAAGTCCTCTCATATAGGTGGTGACGGTTATGTGCCGTGGAGTTGGTTCCGACTCATAGTGACCCTGTACTGGGTTTCTGAGACTGTAAAGCTTTACAGGAGCAGAAAGCCTCATCTTTCTCCCGTGGAACAGCTGGTAGTTTCGAACTGTTGACCTTGTATGCTAACAGAGCTCCTTCCCCTCATATAAATTAGTCAAGAAAGGCTTCATAGAGGAGGTAACATTTAAGGAGGAAGTGATAGGTGAGGGAAGACTGCTCCAAGCAGCAGGAACAGCAAGTGCAAAAGCCCTGAGGTCAGGGCAGGTCTGTTGTGTTCAAGGAACAACATAGAGGCCAGTACGGCATGTTGTTGGTGTTAAGCATCATCAAGTTAGTTTTGACTCATAGTGACCCTATATAGGGTTTCTGAGGTACAGCTGGTGGTTTCGAACTGCCAACCTTGTGGTTTGAAGTCCAGTGCTGATCCTGCAACACCACACCAGGAGTCCAGTATGGCATAGGTGGACAGAGAAAGTGGGAAGAGGTGAGAGATGATGGAAGTGGGCAATAATGCAGGAATTTGTGGACAACATTAAGAACTTTGAGTTCGTGGGTGGTGCAAACAGTTAACACATTTGGCTTGTATTGGTTCCGATTCACAATGACCCTGTATGGGGTTTCCAAAGAGCATCTGGTGGGTTTGGACCACCAACCTTGTAGTTCGTAGTCCAGTGCTTACCATACAGTACCACACCAGGACTCCATACACAATAAATATTTGTTAGTTGTTGATGACTGAGTTGAGGCCATCTATAGATGGGGGCTCATATGGTGGGATCTTCCTATAACAGCGACAATGAAGACAGACAAACAGATGTGGGCTCCCCTGACTCTGCTCCTCACTGGCCTAGTCTTTCACCATCTCTATGATGGGCTGTGGATCAGACTGTTATGATCCATACGATTTTACGCCTGATTTTCAGAAGTAGATCACCTGGTCTTTCTTCCTAGTCTATCCTAGTCTGGTTGCTCTGTTGAAAGCTGTTCAGTATTGTAACAACATGAAAGCCTCCATGAACACACAGATGGTGGCTGTACATGACGTACACTGGCAGGGATTCAAAATGGCATTTCCTGCATGAAAGATGAGAATTCTGTCACTTATTTCAAATTACAGCCAAATTCTTTTCCTACTTCACCTTTCCTCATGAAACTTACTACCTTCTTACTTACATGTTTTAATTTTTTTAGTGTGGTGGAATGAAAATTTCCATACCACAACATTCACCAATACAACAATTTGTACATTTACAATTCAGTGACAATAATCACATTCCTCATGTTAGACAATCATTCTATCCTTTTCCAAAATGATCCACCACCATTAACATAAATTCAATGCCACTCCCCCATCACTTATACAAAGGGCTTCAAAATGTTCATGGAAGAATGGAATGAAAAGATAATGGAATTTTCCCACAAATTTTTGATGTCCCCTCTTATATGTTGTTGCTCTCTATGTTGTTGCTAAGTGTCATCAAGTTAGTTCCGACTCATAGTGATCCTGTATAAATAAAGTTTCCGAGGAGTGGCTGGTGAGTTTGAATGATCGACCTTGAACTCTGCAGTCCAGTACACATCCTACAGCATTACACTAGGACTCCCCCCTTATGAAATTTTACTTATTTATTTAGTTTACTGCCTGTGGCTCCCAACTAAAAGTGAGCTGCAAGAGCTCACTGCACCTAGAACTAACGACCAAACAATATTTGGTAAATGACCTTGAGGACGCCTACAGAATGCTAAACACAAATTTCTCAGTCCTACTCTACTCCATCATTCATCTATTCCCGTGTTCTAGATTCGTTCCTGCCTCCTGGCATTTGCTTAAAGCCACGCCCTTGCCAGGATCACCCTCCATAACCCGCACACAAAAAAAAACCTCTCCCCACCCCTCCCCGCAATGACGTAAATGTGTGAACTGGGGGCCTCCCCAGGCGTGGTTAGAAAGTTGATGGGTTGCCATGGTTACTGACCCGCCGGGGGCGGGATGTCTCCAGGGCACCTCGCCTCTATGGGTTACTGTCAGCCTAGTGGTCCAGCGCAGGAGCGAGTATGGGAGGCGGCTACGCAATTTTCTCACACCCTCCACGCCACCCACGCAGTTGCCACGGAGACAAAGCGCTTCCCTCCACCGCCTTCATCTATCTCTTGGGCCAAGCGGAAAAAAGACGCATGCGCAGTTAGAAGGTAGAGTGGGTTGAAAGACGCCGGGAATCGTCTCTCCTTCCTTCCCCAAGGATTGCTACGCCTGCGCTGGGGCGCTGCCGCTGGCCAGGAGCGAAAGGCGCGCATGCGTTATTGCGGTACCAGGCGGCCAAGGGAACGAGCTAAACGCTAATCTTGCGCCTGCGCAGCTGCAGGCAGCTGGTGGAACTCGGTAGAGGGCAACGTTGCGCTTGCGCTGTGGGCATTTGAAACCCGAGCTAAGAGCTTTAGGGCAGACTGGCGCTGGGTGCGCCTGCGCCTTGGTTCGCTGGGGCGGCCGGGGGCGGGGCCCAGAGAGGGGAGGGAGAAAGGTGGGGGGAGGGAGGAGGCCGCAGAAGCCCAAACCTTAACCGACGGGCAGGAGGGGCCTGCTGCGGCGTCGGTAAGTAACGTCCCTACTCACTACGACCTCTACTCTTTCTGGAGTTCCTCACAGCCCCTGTTGCCCCTTCCTGATCCTGAGCTCCTATTATTTATTCCCAGAGTTCTCCTTAATTTCTGGCATCCCCCAGAGCTCCCACAATCTCTGCAGACCTTAATCCCTAGTATTTTTTCATCCCAGGAGCCCCCAGCTCACCGTTTTTCTCGGACATCACCCCGGAGCCTCCTTTTCATATCGATCTTATGGTCACCCCATTGCCCCGGAACCCTCAGAGCGCCTCTCTGCTCCAAGTCCCCCATTTTTGCTGCACCGTCTTCAGCATCCCCTTACCTCCATCATCCCATGATTTTTCAGCCTCTGAGACACCCCTATTCTCTTATCCTTTCCTGTTCTCCAATGTCCCCGTTCTCCTGTAACTATTGCAGATTCCCCTTTTCCTACACTTAAGCTCATTTTCCTCCATCCCCCAGACCCTCTCCCCAATTGCCGTAACTCCTCGGCGCTGCACTTTGCGCGGCGCCAGGAACACCGCGAGCGCTCTGCCCGTGTGAGTTATTATTAGGCACCTTTGACAGCCCCTCACTTCTGCCCGCCCCCACCCCTGGCCCTTGGGACCGCGGCGTCCGCATCGAGGCGGAAGGGGTGGGGCGGGCAGCTTGGGGACGCCGCGCCCCCGCCAGCGCCGTGCGCCCTGTGTCCGCAGCGCCGGCGCTCCCCATGCGCCAGGCGGCCGGACGGCGGCGTCGGGGGGCGCTATGGCTTCGGCGGCGGCGGCGGGCGAAGCGGAAGAGACCACCCGGCTGCGCAAGCCGCGCTTCTCGTTCGAGGAGAACCAGATTCTGATCCGCGAAGTGCGCGCCCACTACCCGCAGCTCTACGGCGCGCAGAGCCGTCGAGTGAGCGTGGCTGAGCGGCGGCGCCTGTGGGACGGCATTGCCGCCAAGATCAATGGTATTACCAGCTGGAAGCGCACCGGCCAGGAGGTGCAGAAGCGTTGGAACGACTTCAAGCGCCGCACTAAGGAGAAACTGGCCCGCGTGCCGCACTCCACGCAGGGCACCGGGCCTGCCGCCGAGGACGCCTTCTCCGCGGAGGAGGAGACTATTTTCGCCATCCTGGGGCCCGGCTTGGCTGCGCCCGGGGCAGGGGCCGGAACTGTGGCCGAGCAGCCCCATGCATCCGCCTCCTCACAACCGCTGACCTCAGGAGCCTTGACCCATCGCTATGTGTTATCCGAAGACCCTAGGGAGGACCGACACACAGGTAAGTACCTTCACCTTCACCTTCGAAAGAGCAGTCTCAAAGCATACTTAACTGTGTGCCTGACACTGCCCCAGCCTCCTCATGTCTTCGCTACAATTCTATGGGATGAGTGCTGTTATAGCCCCATTTTATAGCTAGGGAAACTGAGGCTCTGAAAAGTGAAAGGATTAACTACTGTCAATGTTAGGAGTGGGACCCAGACCTAAGAGGCCTGGCTCCAAAGCCCACCGGACCATCAGGATAGTAGTAACATCTAACACTCTGGGAGCATCTAGCATGTGGAAGTTAAGCCCTTAGAGCTGCTGATCCAAACGTTGGTCATTCAAACCCACCAAACAGCTTCACCAGGAGAAAGACTTGGCCATCTGATCCCAGAAAGATTATAGCCAAGAAAATCCTATAGGTCACTTCTGCTCTGTAATTCCACCATAAGTTGAAATCAACTTGACTGCTCCCAACAAAATCACATTCCAAGCACTGTCTAAATTCTTTTAACACGGGGTTTCATTAACACATCAGAGGCAGTTAAGGTAGGAACTCTGGAGACAGACTGTTGGGGCTCCTATCACAATTTTACCAATTGTATCATCTTGAGTAAAGTGGGGGTTTAAAAAACCCACTGCCATGGAGTTGATTGTGACTCAGCCCAACTCTAGAGGACAGAGAACTGCCCTATATAGCTTCCAAGATCTTTACAGAAGCAGACTGCCACATTTTCTCTCCCAAGGAGTAGCTGATGGGCTTAAACTGCAATCTTTCGGTTAGTCAATAAGCACTTAACCACCGTGCTACCAAAGCTCCTTTTGGGTAAGGTGTAGCACTGCAGTTTCTGCATCTGTAAAATGGGGCTAAGATGCCCTGGTGGTACCATAATTAAGCGCTCACCTGCTAACTGATAGGTAAAAGACTATAGGTTTGGAAGCCTTATGGGGCAGATTTCTGTCCTATAGGGTCACTATGAGTTGAAACCAGCTTGTATCAGGTTTTGTGTGTTACATTTTTTATTATGAATAGGATGAAAGTTTACAGAGCAAATCTGGTTTCCATTCATTCAGCAGTTCATACATTTGGTTTCATATTGTTGATTGCAGTTCCCATAATGTAACATCACCGTTTCAACTGTCTCCTGTGTTCTCCACCCTCCCTTCCATTCCTCCTCCTTTCCTGTGGGATCGGTTTTGAAGATGAAGATAAAAATAGCCCCTACCTCAAAGGGTTCTTGTGAAGATTCAATGTGTTAATTTTTATGAACTGCTTAGCACCATGCCTGAGAACCACTCAAGGTTGGTTTGGTACTTGATTGAGAGATTAACTGCCTTGAAGTAGGTAGTATTTCACCATTTTGTAAATTAAAGGCTCAGAGGGGTTGGGTAACCTCTCAAGGTCATGTCTTGAGCAGGTTATGGAGAACTGAGGACAAAGATCTTGCACTTAGCTTTGACTTTGAATTATTATTTCTTCTAAAGCTATGCTCAGAACACTTGCACAGTAACTGAGCTAACCCTTGCCCTGTTCTTGTGGGACACACAGTCCAGTAAGGGAGCTAGATCTGTTCCCAGGGGGTGACTGCCAACCTTTAGGTTAGCAGCTGGAGTGCTTAACCCTCTGTGCCACATGCTTGTTGTTGTTGTTAAGTGCCATTGAGTTGATTCTGACCCATAGTGATCCTGTATAGGGTTTCCAAAGAGAAGCTCGTGAGCTTGAACCACCGACCTTGCAGTTCAAATGCTTTGCAATCTGACGCATTAGCCCACAGCACCACAAGTGCCACATGCTAGGTGTTCCTAAAGTGTTGCTGATGGGCCCAGCTGTGGGCTTTGGAGCCAGGCCTCCTAGGTCTGGGTCCCACTCCTGACACTGAGAGTTGTTAATCCTTTACACTTTTCTGAGCCTCAGTTTTCCTTAGCTGTAAAACGGGTCTATAACAGCACCCCTCCTACAGGGTTGCATGTAAAGGGCTTGGAAGCCCCAAAAGCATGCCTGAACCAGTGTAGGAAATGAAGAAGAGCTTCATGGAGGAGTGGATGTCAGAATGGAGACGCCATGGATGAGACTGAATGGGCCAGATGAAGAAGAGCTGGGAAAGTGAGCCTGGTAGAAAGAGAGCTGGGCCAGTTTAGGAAACTGACACAGGTTCTCCCAGTTGGAGAGGCTGGTGCATGGAAAAGACATGAAGAAAGAAATATTAAATGAGAGCAGAGAGGTAGGCAAAGGCCAAGCTAAGGAGTTTGGATTTTATCTTAAATGTTGTAGGCAGCCACTGAAGGGTTTTGAATAAAGGAAGAACTTAGACATGAACAGATAAGACAGTGCAAGATCATTTTAATTCATAGAGGTTTGTTTACTCGCCCAAGGTCACACCGCAAGTAAATAGTGTAAGTGGGATACAGACACAGGTGTGTGTCCAACGAATCATTCATTCCCTTAACCACAGATCTAGATTGCCTGGTAATAGCAAGAGTTCCATTGATTGAGCAGTGTGGTTAGCATAAGATCACGCACACACGGTTGTAAGTTAAGGTCAAGACTTTGCAATTCATCTGGAGGGCATTTGGGAAGCAAGAAAGTGTCCTTAGCACAAGAGAGACACAATCCAATTGGAATCAACCCTCAGTCTTTTTATCAGTGAAATGGCTCCAGTGGACCAGAGCAATGATTTCAAGCTGAGTTTTTCAAAAGCTATTGTTGTTAGGGGTCCGTTGAGTCGATCCTGACTCATAGGGAACCTTATAACAGAATGAAACATGATCCAGCCCTGTGGCCTCCACACTGTCTTTATGTTTGAGCCCATAGTTGCAACAACTGTCAGTTCCCTTTTTCAAAAGCTGTTCTGTGGTTAAGGGCCATCGAGTCGGTTGCAACCCATAGAGACCACCCTGGGTAGGATTTCCGAGGAGAGGCTGGTGAACTTTAACCACCGACCTTACAGTTCTAACCAACAATGCAGTCTAGTGTATTAACCCAGAGTGCCACACCAGGATTCCTTCAAAAGCTGTACAACCCCTATATATTCATTCACTCATTCAACAAATATTTATTGAACACTGATGCTGAAGCAGCCATTATAGTGTTATTTCTGGGTGTCATCAACTTGATTCCAACCCATAGAGACCCCATACTCAAGAGTAGACTGCCCCATAGAGTTCTCTTGGCTCTCATCTTTTCAGAAGTCAGGTCTTCCTCCCACAGAGTCACTTGGTGGGTTTGAGCTGCCAACCTCTTGATTAGCAGTTGAGTGCTTTACTGTTGCACTATCAGGTACTGTAGTAAGTGCTGGGAACACCGTAGAGAACATGACGGATTCGTTCCTTTTGTGGAGCTGACATCCTAGTTGAGAAACACACAGATCATGAACAACTAACCCCCCCCCCCAAAAAAAACAGGTCAGATGCCAGGAGATGATAACAACTAAGAAGGAAAAACAGCCTGTGAAAAAGATAGTGAGTGATGGAAAGGCAAGGTGGTGTGAGGGGTTTGCTAAGATAAGGTAGTTAGAGAGGGCTTATTTGAGGAGCTGAAGTTTGTGTGGAGACCTGACTAGAAGAGCAAGTACATGGTTATTTTGGAGGAGCGTTCCAGAGAGAGGAACTAGCAGGTGCAAAGGCCCTGCGGCAGGAATAGATTTAGAGCATCCTAGATTACACACTGACCCATCATGTTGGTTCATGACAAGAATGGGGCTTGGGGCTCTTCCAGACTCCCCTCTGTCGCCTGAGGTGTCTTTAGTGACACTGGAGGGAAAGAGTAACAGTGAGCTCTTACCTATGTGCCGGGAACTGTCCTAAACCCACAGTAACTCAGTTAATCCCTGTAGTGAACCCCAGGGAGAGGTTTTAGTATTTGTCACTCTTGCACCCGCACACACACACACACACACACACTGCTGTTTATTTGTTGTTGTTAAGTGCCTTTGAGTAGTTACAAATATAATACTTAAATTCTCCTGTTGATCTTTCAGAGGAACCCTGGTGGGTTCATTAAGCACTAGGCTGCTCACTGAAAGGTGGGTGGTTGCAACCCACCAGCCGCTCCCTAAAGATTTACAGCCTGAGAAATTCTATGTAGCAGTATACTCTGTCCTCTAGGATTACTTCAGTCAGAATCGACTCAATGATTCGGTTTGAGTGAATGAGTGGCCCCTCCAGGACTCTTGTAAGCCTTGTGGGCATGGAGGCTGGGTTACTTTTTGTTACTTTTACTCAATACACTAGAAAAGATGCATTTCAGAGTACCTGCAGTTTCTATGCCTTTTATAAGGGAAACTTGCACCCACCCAACCTTAGCTCCCCGTCCCGCCCAGAGCCCTCATACAAGAAGTAGTTACAATGGCAGGATCTAAAGTCCTGGTTCCTGGGTGGTCCAAATGATTTGCTCTTAACTCGTATGGCGCCGTAGGATACGCACTCGACCTCAAGATCAGTTTGAACTATACGGTCGGTAGTTCAAACTTAACCAGTTTACTCCTTGGAAACCCTATAGAGAGTCGCTATGAGTTGGAACTAACTTAATGGCACTTAACAACAGCTAACCAAAAAGTTGGTGGTTCAAAGCCACCCAGCAGCACCACAGAAAAAACGCCTGGTGATCTGCTTCCACAAAGATTACAGCCAAGAAAAACGTGTTGGGGCCCAGTTCTACTCTGATACATGGGGATGTCTAGGAGTCAGAATTCATTCCATGGACGTGGACTTGGTTTTAGATTCTGGTACCAGCCTGTTTTCACATCCCTCCTCCACTTGCGGCCAGCTCTTGGACAGCCTCTCTCTCTGAACTCCCAAGCCACCTCATTTGTAAAACAGGGGTGATTTCAATGATAGCACTTGCCCCCCTCCAGGAAATTGCTGGGAGGACACCGGGAGATAACATAGGAGGAGACTTGAACACAGAACCTGGCTGAGAAGTTATGTTGTTGTTGTTAAGTGCCGTTGAATCGATTCCTGTATAGGGTTTCCATGGAGAAGCTGGTGAGCTTGAACCACTGACCTTGCAGTTCAAACAACTTTGCAGTCTGACATTAGCCCACAGCGCCTCACCAGAGTACCATCAAGTTGGTTCCAACTCATAGCTACCCTGTAGAGGGTTTCTGAGGAGCCACTGGTGAGTTAGAACCACCAACCTTGCTCTTCAATGCTTATCCTACAGTGCCACACCAGGACTCCGTGGCTGGGAACAGAGTCCAGTACAGGTAAACTGTGGTCATTGCTCTCCCGGCCTGCCCTCTTCCCCTCCCCCCTAACTGGTTGGCGGAGGAAGACTGAACCTCAGTATAAAAGCTGAAAGCGGCTGTTTTTGTTGTTGATGATGTTGTTTCTTTGTTCCTTAATCTCGGCCACATTTTTTTTGAATATGGATAGCCAAAAGGCAGTTGGGCTGTGTGAGGGATAGTGTTGTTTTTAAACTTTTTGTGAACTGGGTGGGTGAAAGTTTACAGAGCAGATAAGTTTTCCGTTCAACAATTCATAAACACTTGTTTCATGCCATTGCTGGTAGTCCTCACCGTGTGTGACATCACGTAACCCACCCACTTCTCCCTTGTGTGACCAGTGTCCATTTGTCCTGTCCTAACCCTGGTTGCCTGTTACTGAGAGAGCTAAGAGCAGGCCATCTGATTGGGACTCAAAGGGGAAGGCTGACTTTCTGAGGAAGGAATAGTTCAGCTGGAGCTGGCCAGAGGGTGGTGCTGAAGGGAGGTGAGCCTGGTGGGCCTGGTAGAGGGAACAGCGAGTGCAGGGTCCCTGAGGCAGGGAAGAGGAGCAGAAAGGAGGAAACGGCAGTACTGGGAAGGCCAGAGCTGAGGCCTTGTAGACAGCGGTAGAGGCTAAACTTTCTACTGGGGCATTCTGTGGAACTGCTAGGTAGATTTGAACCAGCAACCTCTAGGTTAACAGGTGAGTAAATCATTTATACAATTTAAGGACCCAAGTAAGAGTTAAGCCAAAACCAAATCCAATTCTGATACATACTTACCCTATGTTGTTGTTGGTGTGTGCCGTGGAGTCTGTTCCGACTCATAGCGACCCTGTCTGTGTAGGGTTTCCGAGGCTGTAAATTTTTATGGGAGCAGAAAGCCTCATCTTTCTCCCACAGAACCGCTGGTAGTTTCGAACTGCTGACTTTGTGGTTCACAGCCCGATTCGTAACCACTACGCTACCAGAGCTCCTTAGTTACCCAATAGAATACAGTAAAATGGTCATACAGGGTTTCCTAGGCTGAGTTGGAATTAACAAAGCAGCGACTGTCACATCTTTCTCCCACAGAGATCAAACCGAAGACCTTTCAGTTAGAAGTCGAGTGCTTAACCACTGTGCCACCAGGGCTCCTTCAAGTAGGGTGGTTGTTGTTAGGTGCCATTGAACCAGGTCCATCTTATAGCAACCCTACATACAACAGAACACAGTACTGCCCACGCCATCCTGACAGTCACTGCTATGTGTCCGTTCACGTTGCAGCCACTGTGCTGTGTCAGTCCCGCTCAGTTTTGCTGACCCTCCGTTTTACCAAGCACGATGTCCTTCTCCAGGGACTGATCCCTCCTGATGACATGTCCAGAGTACAGGAGATGAAGTCTCGCCATCTTTGCTACTGAGGAGCGTTCTGCTTATATTTCTTCCAAGACAGATTTGTTCATTTTTCTGGCAGCCCCTGGTCTATTCAGGTGGCATTTAGGGAGAGAAAAGGACAGACAGAGAAGCTTTTTTTAAAGTTTTTATTGTGAATTAGGCAAAGGTTTACAGAGTAGATCAGTTTTCCATTCAACAGTTGATACACATTTTGTTTCATCTCATTGATTATAGTCCCTACAATGTAACATCACTTAACCCACCGCCTCCCTGCCTTTCTTGTTTCCATTCCTCCTGGTTTCCTAACCTTTCTAAACTTTGTACTTGGTAAATGCTGCCCTCTGGTTTTCAAATTATTCTAAGGTGTGTGTACCTCTCTAGTCTTACTCTTTCCCCTAATAGACCTGTCTATTGTTCAGCCTAAATTGAGGCATAGCGAGTTCATTTCCAGACCTTTGAAGAATGACTAAGGGTCATAATTTGGGGTCTTCCACCAGTCTCTCCACCCAATAAACCTAGTCTCTATGATTTGAAGTTTTGTTCCACATTTTCCTAAGCAGGAGCTATTTTAGTGAGTAGTGAAGGAAGGGCTTCCTGACGGTGATATTGAGCAGAGTCCTGAAGGAGAGCATGAGAGGGGAGCCAGCAGACGTCAAGAAAAAGATCTTTCCAGAAAAAGAAAACAGCTGGAGCAAAGGCCCTGGGGCAGCAGCAAGTTCAAGGTCCCTGAGGCAGGGAACAGGAGCAGAAAGAAGGACCCGGCAGTAGTGGGAAGGTCGGAGCTCTGAGAAGGGCTCCATGGGAAAGTTTGGAGCCGAGAAGAGACAGCATCTGACTTGTATTTTTTCGTAACAATTTTATTGAGAAATAGGGACCTGGTGGTGCAGTTTACTAAGTTTTGGACTGCTTAACCAGAAGGTTGGAAGTTGAAACCCACCAGCCTCTCCGAGGGAGAAAGATGCACCCATAAAGATTTACAGTCTCAGGAACCCTATGAAACAGTTCTACCCTGTCCTATATGGTGGATATGAGTCAGAATCAACTCGATAGCAATGGGTTATTATACCCCACCATAGAATTCACCCATTTAAAATGCACCAAGTTGTGCAGTTTATCACCACAGCCCATTTGCATGACCATAAAAAAAAACTTGAGTCCCCTTAGCCATCATCTTCTCATCCACTCATTACCCTAGCCCTAAAACAAAAACAACCAAGCCAATTACTTGTTGAGTCAATGCTAACTCATGGTGACCCCATATGTGTCAGAGCAGAACTGCAAACCATAGGGTTTTCAATGGCTGTGAGCTTTTGGAAGTAGATTACCAGGCCTTTCTTCCGAGGTGCCTCTGGCTGGATTTGAGCTGCCAACTGTTTGTTTTTATTTTTCCCACATCAACTTTTTATGTTAATAAATAAAGCATCAGAAACCCTAAACAGGGTTGCTATAGGTCAGAAACCGACTCAATGGCACTTATCAACAATAACACTCATGGTTTAGCTGATATTTCACATTTAAAAGTGAGGAAAACCTCTAGGCCCAACTAGATAACTGCCAGTCTTTTGGTTAGCCTCACTCAGGAACTCTGCCTCCAACCTTCCTCATACTCATCTCAGCCTTACAGAGTAGAACTGCCCCATATGGTGTGCAAGGCTGTAAGCACTAGGGAAGCAGACTGACGGTTATTTCTCCTGCAGAGCCTCTGTTGAGTTTGATTCCATGGCCTTTCAGTTAGCAGCCCAGTGTTTCAGCCACTACTCATCCAGGCTCAAACTGCTCCAAGCCCTAGGCAACCACTAATCTACTGTGTCTCCTTAGATTTGCTTACTCTAGACAGTTCATAGAAGTGTACTCATATAAGACATGGTCCCTAGTGACCAGCTTCTTCCCCGTAACATAACTGAATTGTATTTTAGTTGGACTCTCATGCTGCCGGTGAACAGGCTGTGGAGTGGAGGGGGAGGGGATGGGGGAAGCCAGGACCCACTGAGGAGGCAACTGCATTCATCCAGGTAGGAGATGATACGTGGTCGGACCATGGAGATGGAAAGACATTGGCATTGACTTTCATTTTAGGTAGAGTTAGGGACTGTGTCTTTGGAGTGAGAAAGATAAATGAAGGTGTTTAGCCTGAGCAGCTGAGGGAGGAGCAGGTTGGGAGGGTAGGGAGAGTCAGGATCTCAGATCTTGGCAAGTGAGTTTGAGGCGCTATTAGACAGTTGAGTGAATCTGCTGAGTAAGAAACTGGATGTGTAGAGTCTGTAGTTCAGGGGAGAGGTTTGTGCTGGGGGACAAGTCTCAGAGTCTGTGCTTGAAGACTGAGTTCAACGCTATTCAACCCAAGTGGGTTGAGAAAGAGGAAGCCGAACTAGCCCAAGGTTGAACTGGTGTAGACCAATGATCCTGAACTCCAGTCTCTGCCAGAGAGACCCCCTGCCACTGCCCTAGCACCCCAGCTCTCTCCTAGCTCCCCTAGACTGGACCCCAATTGCCCCAGGACCCAGCAAGACAATTAGAGAAGGGTTTGTATGTCTGGACCATTCAGAGTAAGTTGACCCTTCCTCTGAGTGGGATGAGAGCTACCCAGGTCCCTGTTTCCACTCAGGCTGGTATCAGCTACCAGGTTGACTAAATGACAGGGCTTCCAAAAGTTTGTATAGAAATGGAATGAAAAGGTAATCAAATTTTTCCACACAGTTTTTAAAGATTGGTGGCTTGAACTTAGCCAGCGACTCCAAGGACAAAAGACTTGGGCAAAGACTGTTGGTTGCTGTAGTTACTTGCCCTTCAGACTCAAGGCAACCCCACGTGTTAGGTGAAGTTGCTCTGTAGGGTTTTCTTGAAGTAATCTTTATGGAAGCAGATTGCCAACACTACCAGTAAGTGAGGAGCCCTTGTAATGCTGTAGAGTTAGCACTGAACTGCTCACCACAAGGTCAGCAGCTCAAACCCACCAGTTGCTCCAGAAGAGAAAAATGAAGCTTTCTGCTCTTCTAAAGATTTACAACCTCAGAAACTTTATTATAGAGTCGCTATGAGTCAGAATTGACTCATTGAATTTTTGGTGTTACCAGTAAGTAGGTGGGTTTGAACCACCAACCTTTAGGTTAGGAGTTAAGCACAAAGATGACTTAAGGTCCTTTTCTGTAAAGACAACCACAAAAACACTGTGGTGCAGTCCTATTCGGTAACACACGGGGTCACCATGAGTTGAAGACAACTTAAGCTTCCCTTCCAAGGAAAGATAACTGGTCCTGGGCATCCGTTCCACGGAAAGATACTTACTTTCGAAGGATCACCTGGGAGCCTGGACAGGTAGGAACTGGAAGAGGAAGGTGGGAAGGGGTAACCGAGTCTGCAGGGCGGGGCGGGGTCCCACCCACCTGACCCACCTCTCTCTCCACAGATACGCCAGCCCTTGGCAAAGGGGGACGCTCCAGCAGCCCAGAGCCCTGGGTCCCGCCCTCCTGCTCTCCCCAGGAGCGGGGCTGCCAGCGACCCAAGGAGCGTGAGTCCCCGCCCCCTCCAGCCCAGCAGTCGGTCCAGATGTCCCGCCAGGCCTTGTCTCCATCGCCCCCAGCCCCGCCCCCGTCCCTGCCAGCTCCCTCTCCACTACCACCGCTTCCACTGCCGCCACCACCCCGCGTGGCACCTACGCCTCCCAGCGCGCTACCCCCTCTGCCTACTCCAGTCACACCCTCGGCCCCAGACCCTTCCCTGGACTTCCTGCGAGCCCAGCAGGAGACTGCCAACGCCATCCGGGAGCTGGCTGGCACCTTGCGGCAGGGACTGGCCAAACTGAGCGAGGCCCTCAGCACCCTGCTTCCTCTTCTGCCGGGAGCCCCAGCCGACCCACTGCCCCCGCCGCCTGTACCCCAGCCCCCCAGGCCCGTACTGCCCCTACCCACCCCCAAGATGGAAATCACCCCAGAGCCCGTGTCCGTTGTGGCTACGGTCGTGGACGGAGCGGTGGTGGCAACCAGGGGCGTGATTATCGGCCCTAGGAGCGAAGAGGGAAGCCCCCGTCCAGCCCCTGCCCCCCTCGCGCCCCACGACTCACCCCCACACAAGAGGAGAAAGGGTTTCCCCACACGGAAGAGACGTGGGCGATGGAAATCTCCGTGAGATTTCCGTGGGTCTGAACCTGCCTGCGCCCCCTACCCGCTCCCGGCTTGGCACAGTCCAGGGGGGCATCCCTTCATCATCCCAGCTGCGCCCTAGGATCCCGCTCCAGGGGTGTAGGCACCCCACGCCCTATACTAGTTAGTGCCTGATTATCTGGGGGTGGGGGGAGCTCGTGGATAAGCTCCCCGGTCCCCCTTCCCCAGTACAATGCTCTCTGCCTGGCTGCCACCCTTAACTTTGCCTTCTAAGCCATCAATATTTTGTTATTTATTATTGCCCCCTGTGGGGGGGAGGAAGAACCTCGCGGGTCTGCACATACCCCCGCCCATCATCACAACTCTTGTTGACTTGAAGAATTGACCTGTGGGGGCCTCACCACCTCTCCAACCCAGACTTTGGAAGGGGTGGGGGTTTGCAAGACAAATCAAAAGAGAGATGATAAAGGGGGAGTGGAGCTCAGTTCCCATGCAGGTTCTAGGTTGGGCCCTCTGCCACACTACTGCAGTCTCTGCTCTCCCCAGTGGTGACAAGATACCAATAAACTTATTTTTAATACAATAACTTGGGGCTCTGTCTGAGCCAGGCCTGGGGGTGGAGGTGGGAGGAGCATCTACTCTTGCCCTGTCCCCACTGCTGGAGAACGGGATATTTTTTCATCGCACACCTGGAAAGTCCCAGGTTGAGTGGGTTTTCAGCCTCTTTTAAAAAAATTTAAAGCCATCAAATCTTCTGGACGAATGAAATTTCATTCCTCTACATCTTCAAGTACTGACCTAAATGTCATTTCCTCTGGATCCTGTCCCCCAGACTAGGCAAGACAGATCCACCTCTTAGATTTTCTCTCAGTGTCTTAAACTCCTCGGCTGCTGTGCTATTTAGTGTTCTTGACTTGATTCTGACTCAGTGACCCATATAGGATTTCCGAGAAGCAGCTGGTGAGATTGAACCACACGACCTTTGGGTTAGCAGGTCCAGTGTGTATCCTACACCGCCACATTAGGACTCCTTGGGCTTCTCAAGTACCCATAAATGAACACATGCCTTTACCTGTTGACGGAATGGTCCTCCCATAATGAAGACAAGAGCTGGCTCCCAACACCTGTTGCAGTGCCTGGTAGCAAAGTGGATAATTGCTACCATTTTGGATGCAGTTTAGGATCTTCCACTAACCTCAAGGATGGGAGTTCAAACCCAACAAGCTGCTCCTTGGAACAAAGACCTGGTGATTTACTATAAAAAGTATTTTTTGTTGTTGTATGCCATGGAGTTGCTTTAGACTCGGTGACCTTGTACAGGGTTTCTGAGGCTGTAAATCTTTACGGGAGCAGAACACCTCATCTTTCTCCCGCGGAACAGCTGGTAGTTTCAAACTGCTGACCTTAAGGTTCACAACCTGATTTGTAACCACTATGCTACCAGAGCTCCTATAGCCTGGAAAACCCTATGGAGCAGTTCTACCCTGACGAACATGACGTCACCATGAGTTGAACGCAATTGGACAGTAACAAGTTTGGATTTTACATTAAGTTTTTTAATTCCATCCGGCCTGGATCGACTGCTGCAGCTCAGCCCAGCTTTGTAACATTGAGCAAACAAGCTCACTTCTATGGGCCTCAAGTTTTCTCATCTGTAAAATGGGCCTACAGAGAAAGTAGTCTTTATTTTCTACAGTTAAATTGTTTTCATCCTTCAGGTCTCCATTCAAATACTACCTCCTCTGGAAAGCTTTCTGACTCCACACCAGGGCTGTTAATCACAAAACGCAGTTAAATAATCATTTTGAGTAGTTTAAAATTGAGTGCCCACCTCCATCACCAGGTTGAGCCAGGTCAGGGCAAGACCTTGGCCTGTTTTGGTCAGTGTTGTATGCCCATCACAGAAGGGAGGTTGAATATTTGTTGAATTAGTGGACGAATTTAAAAAAACAAAACTACCTTCATGTATGAGTCAAGCACCCTACTAACAATTTACCTACTTACATAATACACTAAAAAGGAGCCCTAGCATCCGTCCGTCCCAGTGGGGTAAGGGTTGAGGTGTTAACCAAAAGGTCAGTGGTTGGAGTCCAGTAGCTGCTCTGAGAACGATGTGGCAGTTCGTTTCTGTACACATTACAGCCTTGGAGACCCTATGGAAGAGTTAGGTCCTGCCGGGTCCCTATCAATTGGAGTTATCTCCAGGGCAGTTTCTCCTCCCTCAAAAGGTTTAAAACCTCAGAAACCTTATATGGGATCACTATGAGTTGGAACGGACTCAACAGCATTTAACAACAGCAAAGGCATTCAATAAAGAACACACCCCAGGGGTTTGCATTTTTTCAGAGGAAAATAACAGCTTTCTTAAGCTTACGGACTTGCCTGAGGCCACAGCCGGACAGTCCAGTCCAGTCACCTGAGTTTGCCTCTGGTCAGAACTCTGAACTCCCACTAACCAGTTCCTTTCAAGTCAATTCTGACCCATGACCATCCCATATGTGTCACAGTAAGTGTGTGGTTTAGGGTTTTTAGTCCTGGTGTGGCGCTGTAGGATAAACCCTGGACTGCAGGGTCCGTGGGAACCACAAGGTTGGCAGTTCAGACTCACCAGCTGCTCCCTGGAGAGGATTGCTATGAGTTGGAACCAACTTGAAGGTACTTAACAGCAATCTTTTCAAACTAGATAACCAGGCCTTTCTTCTTAGGTACCTGAGTGGACTTAAACCTTTAACGTAGTTCAAATACCAGTGTGCTGTTTGCACTGCCCAGAGACTCCTAACTCCCTCTAGTTTAAGTGCTGTCAAGTAGGTTCCGACCCATTGGGACCCCGTATAGACAGGGTTTCTGAGGAGTGGCTGGTGAGTTTGAACCGTGGGCCTTGCCATTCAAACCGACCTGGCAGTCCAGTGCATTAACCCACAGAAAAATCCATTTTAGGGATGCATGGACTTGTTCATATTTCTATATTAAGCTTTAATGTTATTTTAAAAGGAAGTGTAGCTAGTATGTGAAACCCAGGATTGTGTATCTATTGTTTAAACCCAAACCAAATTGCTGTGGAGTTGATGATTCTGACTCTTAGTAACCCCACACGGCAGACTAGAACTAGGGCTTCCAAGGCTGTTTATCTTTCTCCAGCAGAGTGGCTGGTGGATATGAACTTCAGACCTTGTGGTTAGCGACCCAATGCCAAACGTAAATATTGTTGAAGGGATTTCACTTCACAATGTTAAGAAAATTCTGTTATTAAGTGCCGTAGAGTCCGTTCCAACCCACAGACCCTGCATAGAGTTCTGAGAAGCAGCCGGTGAACGTGAGCCGCAGACTGCAGATCTAACGCATTTATATTAATCCACAGTGTCACACCAGGACTCAATAATAAAACAGGAGAAACATAATTTCTAACACGTCTAAGTAAAATTGTGACGTTTGGATTATAGATAAAAATCAGAGATGCTGCGGCAGCAATTGGAGGTGAAGAGAGCAGGTAACTCTGGACTAATTCGAAAACTGAATGCAACTCTAGCAAGTGGTTCAAATATTTTTCCGAGTATTTTTGAGCGCTTAAACATGGACCCAGGCCTAGAGAATGAAAGGGGCTGATGTGAGCGAGAACCTAAAACTGACCCCCTCCTCAAGCCTGATTTCCACTGTTCCAGGTTTTAGGGATAGAAAGCGTGGGGGTTCCCAAAATCTGGCTGGATTTAGCAAGTATCAAGCGCTGAATTTGGGGGTAAGAAGGCTGGTGCTTGCTCTTCACCAATATAGATACCACCTTGCTCGCAATCTCTGGCCCCTTTCCCTTCCTCCAAATTGGGGACCGGCAGAAGACGAGGGTTACCCAAACCCAGGGCGCTGAGAGAACAGGAAAGGGGGTGGGGGTGGGTGACGACAGACACTGAGGAAACCGTGAAGGCCTTTCCCCAACCTCCCAGACAGCGGAAGTGCGTCAGTTGATCTGCAACGCAGAGCATTTGGGGAATTGTAGTGAAATCGGGAGGGGGCGGAGAAGCCAGCTGTGTAACCATTTGGACGCCACACAATGCCGCCGGCAGAGTTGAAGCCGAGTTAAAGAACGTTTGGTCATTCCTTTCCTTTACCAGGTGAGGAAACTGAGGCAGAGGTCTGGCCTGAAGGTCCTCAGTCTTATTTCTTTAACTTGTCCTGCTCACAGCCAGAGGCAAATATCCAAGAATCTGGGGATAACCAACTACTGAGGAGACAACCCCTTCCATGTGACAGCTAGCCGGCCCCCAGCTCGGAAACCATTCAATGAGGACACCCGGGAGCGGCTTGCCTTCCTAACCCTTCATTGGACCGCCTCTTCAGTTAATGGGCGGGATAACGGTGGCTCAGAGAGGGCACGTTTTTTACTCAAAGCTGCACAGCAACTCAGTGTTCGAATGGACCCCTGGCAACCTGTCTGTCCCCAGTTTCTGAAGTCATTTGTATCACAATCCCACTCTCAACCCTTAAGCCTCAGCTCCCCGGGGCACGCAGCACACCCTGCCCGGTGGCGAGGAAAGAGAAGGGTTCCTGAGGAGAGGCAACGAGCCCCCTTCTACTCGCCGTCCCCTTTAAGAGCTGACCCCCTGCGGGACTACGTTTCCCAGAAGGCTTTGCCGGAGCCTTATGTAACTTTCCCTGCGAAGCGGCCTCTGGGGCAGAGGAAGGAGGTGGAGGCGGCGGCGGCGGCCGTTGCGGCGGCGGCGGCGGGAGCGGCGGGAGCCTGAGGCGGCGGCGCCCGTGGCCCATCACGGGGCCCGAGCTGTGCGCCTCGGTCCGGAGTCCGGACCGGCCGAGTGCTCCGACGTGTTTCTATCTACCTTTTCAGGGAAGGCTAGAGTGAGGAAAAAGGCTTAGGGCCCAGGGGGCGGGGAAGGGGGGCCGGGCCTGGATACCGCGGGGAAGCGGAGCCGGACACCGGGCCGTGGCTCGCGCGGTCCGGGGAACACTGATCAGACGTCGGTGACGCGGATCGAACGCCGGTGCCTGGTGGAACGCGAAGGCTGGGCGGCACGCGCACTGGGGCCATGGCGTCGGTGCAGGCGTCCCGCCGCCAATGGTGCTACCTGTGTGACCTGCCCAAGATGCCGTGGGCCATGGTGTGGGACTTCAGCGAGGCAGTGTGTCGTGGCTGCGTGAACTTCGAGGGCGCGGACCGCATCGAGCTGCTCATCGATGCTGCCCGCCAGCTCAAGCGCAGCCACGTGCTCCCAGAGGGCCGATCCCCCGGCCCCCCGGCCCCCAAGCACCCTTCCACCAAGGACCTGGCGGCGGCCACTACGTCGGGGCCTCAGCTCCCACCCCCACAGCCCCAGCCCCAGCCGTCGGGCACTGGAAGCGGCGTCTCAGGCCAGGACCGCTATGACAGAGCCACTTCATCAGGCCGTCTCCCGTTGCCCTCACCTGCCCTGGAGTACACCCTGGGGTCCCGCCTGGCCAATGGACTGGGTCGTGAGGAGGCTGTGGCCGAGGGGGCTCGAAGGGCTCTGCTTGGCTCAATGCCCGGCTTGGTGCCTCCTGGGCTACTGGCTGCCGCAGTGTCTGGTCTGGGAAGCCGGGGTCTGACGTTGGCACCCGGCTTGAGTCCTGCCCGTCCAGCCTTCGGTTCTGATTTTGAGAAGGAGAAGCAGCAGAGGAATGCGGACTGCCTGGCAGAACTGAACGAGGCCATGCGGGGCCGGGCAGAGGAGTGGCACGGGCGTCCCAAAGCTGTTCGTGAGCAACTGCTAGCACTGTCCGCCTGTGCCCCGTTCAACGTCCGCTTCAAGAAGGATCACGGGCTGGTGGGACGGGTGTTCGCCTTCGATGCTACTGCCCGCCCTCCAGGCTACGAGTTCGAACTGAAGCTTTTTACCGAGTACCCTTGTGGTTCGGGCAATGTGTACGCAGGGGTCCTGGCGGTGGCCCGGCAGATGTTCCATGATGCTCTGCGGGAGCCGGGCAAGGCCCTGGCCTCCTCAGGCTTTAAGTACCTGGAATATGAGCGCCGGCACGGTTCCGGGGAATGGCGCCAGCTGGGAGAGCTGCTCACCGATGGGGTCCGCAGCTTCAGAGAGCCAGCTCCAGCGGAGGCCCTGCCCCAGCAGTACCCAGAACCGGCCCCTGCAGCCTTGTGCGGGCCACCCCCTCGAGCCCCATCCCGGAACCTGGCTCCCACGCCACGCCGTCGCAAGGCATCCCCTGAGCCGGAATGCGAAGCGGCTGGGAAGCTGACCACTGAGGAACAGCAGCAGCGACACTGGGTCGCACCCGGTGGTCCGTACTCCACCGAGACCCCAGGTGTGCCTTCACCCATTGCTGCTCTGAAGAATGTGGCCGAGGCCCTGGGCCACTCACCCAAGGACCCTGGTGGGGGTGGGGGTCCCGGGCGGGCAGGGGGTGCCAGCCCTGCAGCCTCCTCCACAGCCCAACCTCCAGCCCAACATCGGCTTGTGTCACGTAATGGTGAGGCAGAAGTCAGCCCCACGGCAGGGGCTGAAGCTGTCAGCGGGAGTGGAAGTGGCACTGGGGCCACCCCGGGGGCCCCACTGTGCTGCACCTTGTGCAGGGAGCGACTGGAAGACACCCACTTCGTCCAGTGCCCCTCCGTACCTGGACACAAGTTCTGCTTCCCCTGTTCACGGGAGTTCATCAAGGCGCAGGGCCCTGCAGGCGAGGTGTACTGCCCGAGTGGTGACAAGTGCCCACTCGTGGGCTCCTCCGTCCCATGGGCCTTCATGCAGGGCGAGATCGCCACTATCCTTGCTGGAGACATCAAGGTCAAGAAAGAGCGGGACCCCTAGACCATCACTGCCACCAGGCTACTGCTCCCGGCCCCTTTGCCATCCACCGCTGCTGCGGATAAATTATTCCCTCCCCCACCCAAACCAATGCCACCCCCACCCGTGTACATACCCCCTTCCTCAGTCCCCATGGGTTCCCTGGGGTAGATGCTTTGGGGGCGGGGGGAGAAAGCTTGTGGCTCATGTCCAAGGGGGTGTTTGGGGTCCTCTGGGCCCTTCCGATTTCCTTCCCTCCTTGGCTTGGCTTTTCTGCTGCTTGTAGTTGGGGAGGAGGCTACCTCTTCAGAAGGGGTCCCCTGAAATCTTGCTCTTTATAAACCAAGCAAAGCATTTTATTCCCCCCACCCCATACTTTCTCCCGCCCCAGTTTTCCTCCTTCAATAAACCTAAAGATGGGTTTGTTTTTTTCCTCTGGGTCCTTTAGTTGTCTGAGATGCTGCGCCCTCTTAGGGATCGAACTAATCCTGCAGGGAGAGTGTGTACACTTGTAACCTCCAGGTGGCGCTCTTCACCCAGGCAGCCTGCTGACTGTTTTTGCAAATGCTGTCCACAGTCAGACATTCTAGCCCTCAGCCCTTTGACCGTTTTCCAGGCAACAAAAGTGAGGCTCAGAGAGGGGATGGTATTTGCATAGAGACCATAGCTTAGCTTGGCGTCAGGTTTTCCTACTGTCACTGCTCCATTTCTTCCATCTACCCAGAATAAGAAGGGCTCGATACCTATGGGGAGAAGGGGAAGACTCAGTGGGAGCCATGCAGTCGGTTCCTGCTGGACAGGGAGAGAATAGAGGCTAGACTGCAAGGAGAACTGCCCACGGAAAAGGAAATTTACCTCCACAGGGTAAACTAACTGGTTCCTTGGAAACAAGGTCATTGGGGCTTGGCCTCTGTTAGTGCCGAAAAGGCGGAGACTTAGGAAGTTTGAACTGGGCTCCACAGGCGGCCACCCTAGAACACGGTGACAGCCAAGGGAAAAGACGTGCCCCACCCCCACTGCGGCCACCTCTGATGTGTGCGGCCTTGTCCCGCACCTGCCGGCTGGGCTGATCATTAACCAGGACTTCCTGCAATGCTGGCGTCACGGGGCGGGGCTTGAGCTGACTACAGCAAAGCAGGGGTTAAGGCAAGGGGCAGCGCCAGGAACCCAGCCCCCACCTCAGCGACCCTGAAGGGGAGATTCCAGGAAGCGGTGCAAAGGCAAAGGCAGCTGGTGGCCGTAAAGATATGAATATTGGTGTCTACTGGTACTTGGCAGTATCAGAAACCTAAGGTCACCCCCAGATCTCAGGAAACCCAAGTGTTTCATCACCTCCACCTGGAGGACCAGAACATCCTGACCCATCCTACTTACCCAGATGTCTGCCAGACACCTGGCAGCTCCACTGTCCCAACTATTAGGGACCCTGGGACTTCTTCACATCTGGAGGGTCCTAGTACTTAACAGGGGTCCCATCCCCCACGTCACCAGGTCTCAAGTGTTTGGTCACCCCTGGCACTGCCAGCCTGGGCTCTGGGCAGGGCTGGGAAAACCACCCCTGGTTAAATACACGTAGACGATAAGCCTGGGGCGAGGGAGGCACTGGAGCTCCGGAACTGGGCTACCCTCCCTCCCAACCTTCCCTGGCCCACCTTGCCGCCCCTGGGATTGGCTATCCCCTGCCCTCAAATCCTCAAGGCTTAGAGACCTACAGATACCAGGTCCCTATGCCCCAGTTGGGACTAGAGAGCTGTGTAGGACACCTGGTTCTTTAAGAACAGCTGGTGGATGGGTGGGGGGAAGGGGAGTCACCCCCAGCCTGGCTGGTGTGTATTTTAGATAGAGGTTGGGTTAACCATTAACTCAGCAGACACCTGACCTGTGTGGGTGTGGGGGGCTGGATCAGTCCCCTGCACCCCCCGCCCCAACCCGGGGCCAGGGTAGAGCTAGGCTGGAGGAGCTTCTGAGCTTATTTTGGGGTCTCTGCTTAGGTGAAGAGGCTTTGAGACAAGGGGAGGGGCAGAAAGAACAGTAAAGATGGGAAGAGAATGGGGGTAGGGAAGGTGGGGGCAGCTCAGTGAGAGAGACAAGGAAGACACAAAGGGGGGGAGAGACCCCAGTAGCTGAGACAGACATTCAGAAAGGAGACCTAATAGGACAAATATCCAGATAGGTCAAGAGAGACTGAATTGCAGATGAGACACCAACAGTACAAACATCAAAAGGGAACAGAGAAGAGAGGCATACTGAGAGAGGGGAATAAAAGGTACAGGAGTCTCTGGGCAGTGCCAACAGTTAAACTGTTCTGCTAGCCCAGAGTGGGGGTTTCAAATCCATCCACAGTCACCTCAGAAGACAGTCCTGGCAATCTCCCCAAAGTCAAGCAGTCTGGCTTGAGAACCCCCCGGAACAGTTCTCTGCACGCATGGGGTTGACAGGAGCCAGAATCCACTCCAGGGTAATTAATAAGAACAATGAAAAAGAAGACAGAAAAGGAATGGAAGATGTATTCCAAATGTGGTACCAAAAAAAGAGTCATTTAAAGAGCAGGTGAAGGAGAAATGAGGCACCAGGGGTACCACCCAGGAATTCCTCACCCAGTGGTGGTGGTCATTGTGCCCTGGAGTCAGTTCTGACTCAGCGACCCTACATAGGATTTCCAAGGCTGTAAATCTTTACGGGAGCAGAAAACTTCATCTTTCTCCTGCGGAACCACCAGTAGTTTCAAACTGCTGACCTTGAGATTAGCAGCCCGATTCGTAACCACTACACTACCTGAGCTCCTTCCTCACCCATTAGAGAGCCGATTGAATGGATGAAGAAATTAATTGGTTCCTTGTCTTCCTCATCAAATGTTTATTGAGCATCCACCAGGTGACAAGACTTAGAAATTATTCTCTGGGATCCCTTACCCTTAAGTGGGAGAAACACGGGCCCATAGAATATGCTATGCCATAGAGTGGTAAGCGCTACAAAGGAAACCAGAGAGTGATGGAGGTTGGAAAGACAGATTGACACTGGAGCTGAGTACTGAAGGAGGTGAAGGTGAGAGCCAAGGGAGGTGGGAACGGGCAGCATATGCAAAGGCCCTGAGGTTGGAGCCTGCTGGATTCTTTCCGGAAGCAGTCAAGGGAGCAGTGGGACAGAACTAAAGGAAATGAAGTCAGAGAGGTAGCAGGGAGTTGTCCAGGGATCCTCATGATAAACCCAAACCAAACTCAGTGTTGTCAAGTCCATTCTGCCTCATAGTGACCCTCTAGGACACAGTGGAACTGCTCCTTAGGGCTTCCAAGACGGTGAATCTTTATGGGAGCAGATTGCCACATCTTTCCTCCTGAGGAGCAGCTGGGGAGTTTGAATCACTGACCATGTAGTTAGCAGACCAGTGCTTAACCCACCGCAGCACTAGAATTTCAGGTCATGAAAAGGATTTTGGATTTTGTTCTAAGACCAATGGAGCGTTTGAAGCAATGAGTGAAGGGATGGAGCAAATGCTACAGAAATGGCAGAGAATCAACTGGGACAGAGAGCAGCATCTCATTTATCTGTGTCCTGGCCCCAATAAAGGCCTAGCCCAGTTATCTGACAGCAGAATGTGCATGCATGAATCAGACCCCTACCAGATAGAGAAAAAGTCGTTGTGATATTTGGATGGAGATGATAGATTCAAAGACCCCCAGGGAAAGGCCAGCTAAGGCCCCTGGGGGACATCCAGGGCTAGCAGACACAGACAGACAGCAGCTCGGCTGAGACATCCCATTCCTCCCAGAGCCCTTCCTACTCGGATAGCTTCCCTGGGGCTGGAAAAAGCCCTGGCCCCCCTGGCCGCCTCGCCCGTGGCGTGCCCACTCACACCTCGGGCACAGGAAGCTGGCAGGCCCCACAGGAACCATTCTGTGAGGGGGGAGTGGAGGCCGGCGGGCAGCAGCAGGGACGGAGGGAGAGGAGCGGCTGGCGGCCGGGCAGCGGGCAACAACTGCACAAAGGCTCCAGTGTCTGCCCCTCCAGTCCCCAGGTACAGAAATAAATAATATGTACATACACCTTTATATATACACACCAGTGGGTTGGGGCCACATACTCCCAAAGGACCCTTGGCATGGAGTGGACTGGGGGGCTCTGAGACCTAGAGAGATAGGTGCCAAGAAGGGACCCAAGAGACAGAGGGAAGAAGAAAGAGCTACAAAATGAAAGAGAACCTGGCAAGGACACATATCAGAGACTTAGTGCGGTTAATTGCCTTCCAGTACATTCTGACTCATGACGACCCCAAGTTCAAAGTTTTCAAGGCCATGACCTTTCAGGAGCAGAAAGCCAGGCCTGTCTTCCGATGTGCCCCTGGTGTGGGGGTCGGGGGTTGAGCCGCTAACCTTTTGGCTAGGAGTCGAGTACTTAGTGCCACCCAAAGAGTAAATGAAAAACCAAACCACGTGCATGGCCATCAAGTGGATCCCAAATTACAGCAAGCCAATTGGACGGAGTAGAATGGCCCCATACAGGATTCCTAAGACTGTAATTTTTTACGGAAGCAGATGGCCTCATCTTTCTCTAAGGAACTACTGATAGGTTTAAACCTTAGACCTTTGAGTTAGCAGTCAAGCACTTTGACTCCAGAGAATGAGTAGGCAGACTAAGAAACAGACTGAGAAATGGAAGTTCACCAAAGAGAAACAGGAAAACTCCCAGGTAGGGGGACAGTGACCACATGAAGATGAAGGTCGTTAAGGAGAGAGACAACCATAGAAAAACCTAGACGAAAGGAAGTGGGGACAGAAAGAAACAGAGACAGACAGACAGGCAGACAGACAGGGCCAGGGGCCAAGACTTGGAGGCCCCAGGAAGCTGGTGACCACGGGTGGGGGAGGATCAGGATCTGGTTCCTCTCTGGGGGCACCACCTGTGGGGCTCTGCTCAGCCCAGCCCAGCAGGTTGAGGGGCAGGGAGCGGAGGTGAGGGAGGTGGCCCTTGGGTTCCGGATCTTGGTGTTTACCTGGGGCAGGCACTGCAAACAGGCGTCCAGCCTGGCCCATGGCAGGCAAGGGTGGGACAGGCTGGGCCCCAGCCCTGGCACTGGCAGACCCGGCACACCCACCTGTGGCCTGGGCAGTGAGTAACACACACCGTGACATCTGGAGCAATAGCGACACAGAAGGGGACAGGCACAGTGGCCCACAGTGCCAGATATTTGCCACCCAGACACAGTGATAAAGAAACAGAGACAACAGTGACAAGGACAGACTGTAACAGACACAAAGTGACACACTGTCATACCACACACAAGGGCAGACACAGAGGGTGACAGTCACCCAGAACACAATGAGAGGCATAGAGATGCAGTGACAGAACACAGGTGGCAGACATACAAACCGCAATACACACACACACACACACACACACGCTGTGAGACAGACAGAAATAGTGACAGACAGAGAGC